AAGGGAAGTTTAGCATCTTGGACAGCTGGAGAAGAAACACTGAGCTTCATCTGAAGTGAACTGACACCAAGTGATGCTGGAAGACAGGGACTTCTGAGTCTTTTGCAGGGTATAGGAATAAACATGAGCTCTACATGTGCTCCAAGGTGGAGGTTTGAGAAGAGCAGGAGATGAGGACCATCACAAACCACAACTTGGACACCTTTGAAAGAGTGAAAACAACTCCATCATTGATGTGAAGATCAATCATAAGGAATCAGCAGCTTTTCTTTGAGCACTGCCTATAGGTGGGCCATATACTTCCCTCAGACCTCAAGGTAATGCAGAGACTCAAGTGAAGTGAAGATCTCTTGTCCAGGAGAAGCAGCAAGATCTTAGCAAACAATAATTAGAGGGGGAGGGCAGCAGGGCAGTGAGACCATCTGGTCAGCATTATCCAAGTAGCTGCTGTAGTAGCTGGGCCCTGTGAAGGAGCAGAAGGCACCAGATGTGCCCAAAAGCCTGTGAACAGGAGCATTTAACTGTAAGCATGGAGGTGCTGCTGTCCCGCCAGAGCAATTCCTGGCAGCAGCCCCATTCAGGATCTAGGTCCACCTTAGATGTGGTTGTGGCACTCCCACCACCTCCTTGGAGAAGGCCTGAAATGGTCACCATGCTTAGGGACAGATTTTGCACAGGATCGTCCTTTAACTCGGCACCTGTGTTCCCAACCAGGTCTGTCTGGACAAGATGCTGCTGGGTCCAGCAGAAAAGCTCCTTCTGTTATCCCTTCCCTGCCAGGATGCACAGAAATTTGAGATTAAAAAAAAAAAAAACAAAAAAAACCAACAAAACATTGGAGTTGGAAAACTCCTCTTTACTTTGAAACCCTTGAGAGCAGGACTTTGCTCCTTTCACTTGCCCATGGCACTGTTCTGCCTAAATATTTTTAATGGAAAATGCAGCCCCAGTAGTGTTTATTTAGATGGGTGGCTGCCAGGGGTCATCACCTTCCTCTCTCTAGCAGGCACCTGCTCTGCCCATGATCCATAGCTTTGGCTGCTTCCCCAGTGGACTATTAAAGAAGGCACTGATTGTAGTACTTCTGCATAGAGGTCCTGTTACCTGTGAGACTTTTCAGCACCTCGGCCTCACTGCTGCCCACATCTCCAACTGCTTTGGGCCAAAGATGGGACTTGTTGCTGTTTTGGCCATCATAGCAAGACCTGTGCCACGACGTGGGGCCTTGGGAGCAGCAGAGTGAGCTGAAGCATCAGAGCCCCCTGTCAGTGACCGACAGTAAAGCCAGTCAGCAAAATGCCATTTAGAGAAATTACCTTAAGACATGTTACCCCCATCTAATCCGTGTCCCTTCCTGAAAGGGATTGATGGTGCAGGAGAACAACAGCATCTGTTGCTGGAGGGAGAGCTTCCTGAGGAGCAGATGGGGCCGCTGTGTCCTGAGGGGACCCTCACTCCTCCTGTGACCAAGATGTCATCAGTTGTCAACAGAATGGAGAAGATGGAGATGGAGAAGAAATGGAGCAAGGTGCCTCAGAGATGTCAAAACTTCTCCAGGTTCTGAGTGCAGCTCTAGAGATTGAAGGAGCTCTTGGGGTTTAAAAGAAAAATTTGGCCTTGGTGAGTTTTTTCTTTAGCTCTGCATTTGGAGTTGCCAATAGCCCTGGCCCCAGAACAATCACTAGGTGCCTTCTCTAGGCACAAACCCACAGCCCCACGTACCTCCCGGGCCAGGGTAGCTCCAACAGAGACTGGTGGAAATGGTTGGGTTTGGTGGACATACACTTGGAGTCTGCAAGGTGCTCTGGCATGTGGCTGGACCCTTCCCATGGCAGCAGAGCCTCGCCCGTGCTCTGCTGTGTCGTGTGTGCCCCCAGAGGGCAGGGCCGTGTCTGACTCCTCACGAAGGGTCCCTCCTCACCCCCCGGATGGATGCGGGCCCTGAGGGGAGGGCTCTGACCTGAGCCCCATCCTTTACCCCCGGCCCAGCGGGGTAAACACCCCCCGAGTGCCGCTGCCCCGCGGGGGCTGCCCGGGGGGAGCCGCAGCCGCTGCTCCCAGGGCGGCGGGGAGGGAGGCTGGGGGGGGATCGGGGCCGGGCGCGGCGAAGGTGCCGGGGCCGCCTCTCCCTCCCCCCGCGCCGCTTCCTTTTATATCGATGCGGCACCGCCGCCCGCAGCCACAACCTGCGGCCGTGACGCCGCCGGCAGCCGGAGGGACGAGGCTTTGCCCCGCGCCCAGGTAGGGGCTGCCCGCGCCCCCCGGGCGGGCGGAGCGGGGAGGGAGCGACAGGGAAATGGGGATCGCCCGAGGGAGCCGGGAGGAGCCTGAGCGGAGCCGTGGAGTGGGCACCCGTGGGGAGCTGCGGGGCGGGGAGGACCCGGGGGAGCCCCCGCCCCGCTGATCCCCGGCCTCGGGCCGGAGGGCGCGGATCGGCGGGGCCGACGGAGGATGCTCAGAATTCCCGGACAGCGCCTTCCCGCCGCCTCCCACGGGGCCGGGAGGTCTGTGGGGCCGCGGGCAGAGCCGCGGCGGCACAAGGGCGGCCGAAGGGAGCCCTGGCCGGGCTCTGCTTCCCTCGGTGCACCGGGACTGTGAGGCCACCCGGGTCAGCAGGGGCCGGGGGGGAATCTGCTCATGTGTGTGAGGGGGTGACAGGCCAGGGGCGGGAGGGTCCTCTGTGCCAGCGGTGTGGCATTAACCCGCACCATCTTCAGCTACTGCCGGGTTGAAGCCGAGCAGCAGCACCCTAGGCTGGTTGACCTCAAGAGGAAACCACGGTTTGGTTCTGTGAACAGGGCGTGCTGCTCATGGCCGTCCGGGCTGGGAGCAGCAGTGACCATCTTTGGCTGGAGGCTTCTTGTGCTGCCGTCTGATGCTCAGACAGGTACCAGGCTGGAAACTTAACAATCGTCGTCGTTCATGCAAATCTTGTGCCCCGAAGTTCAGCCCAGCAGCCAGAAAAGCGCTGGACTGGCCGGGGAGGAGGCGATCACTTCTGCTTTGGGCATCTGGTACTTCCTCGTCTGGGCAGGGATGGTGGTGTGGTTGAGATCATGACTGTGTGTGAAAATTACCCCTCTCTTGAGCAAGCCATAGTGTTTCAAAAGGGTTAGTGGTGAAACAGAGGAAATAAGACCGAGCAGCCCCTAAACCGTAAAGATTACCTGGCTGTATGGTTTAGAGCAGAGTTACCCTTGTGCCATTTAAAAATGAACTCTTATCCCTAACATACATGACCCCAAAAGTCTTGACGAGTATGTTTATTCAGTGTTTTGTTGGGTGTGCGATTAAAAGAGTAGAAAGGCCCTTTTTTTCATTCAAACAAAGAAAACCCCACACCTGCACCTCAAACTGAGAAGTGCTTTGAAGAGATGTGGGATTTTGGTGGAAGTGCAACATCCTCTTTGTTTCAGTGCTTGGCTGAAATCAAGCCTGGCAATGGCTGCTGCCTGTTCTATGTCAAGGAGGCCAGAACTGACGCTGCAGGGAGAGTGGGGAATGTTCACTCTGAGGGACCCTCCTGGGTGCACACAGGCACTCCAGGTCATTTTGGTGCTTCATGTTGCATGGAAGAGCTGCTCAGGGTCATCTTGCCTTAGCGAGAGGCAGCACTTTGCTGCATGGCTTCTCCTGTGCTCCCGCTCAGCAGGGACTGGGAGCTGGTGCTTATCCAGGCAGTAGGATGCTCTCCAGCTGCTGTTGCAGGCAGCAGTCCCTACCTGCTGCTTTGAGCACTCCTCAGACCAGAGGCCTTGTCATTCTGTTCTCCGACAGTTGCCACCACTAGCTCTCCCAGGATCAGTGATGTGGTTCCCTCCACAGCTTAGCAGGAGGAGCCCCCCTGGCAGAAGGAGTTTCTGAGCAGGTCTGAAGCAGTGCTCTGCAGGGAGGCTAGGAAGCGTTCAGCATCCAGCAGGAACAGTCATGCCAACAGGACTTTTAAAGACAATTCCAATAAAGTCCAGAGCATCTGTTTCTCTGACTGAGATCGATAGTTCAGACTGCTCAGCAAGGAGCACGTGCAATGGATTTTCAATAATCTGCGAGGCACAGCTCAGGCTTGAGGAAAAAATTATTAGGCCTCATTCTGTGCCTCTAAATATAAGTGTGCCCAGCAAGGGCAGTTGGAGAAGCTGATGCACTGGAGGTAGTTAAAAGCTCCATTCCACCTCTGAGTGTGGGAGGCCACAGCCACTCGCAACTGCTATTTCTTAGTACTCAAAGGTATCAGAGGATAAATAGTGGCTCACAAAAATAAAGACTGGTGTTTGAGATACTTCCTGTGTTTGCTGGTGGAGAACAAGGCAGAGTATTTTGAAAGTAAAAGCATATTTCCTGTGAAAAACTGCTGAAGTGACGTGTGAGATCCTTTCAGAGCTGGAGGCACAGCCACAGTGACTCAGGGCAGCAGTGCTGGCACCTGGAGATGGGGCTGGCTGGCTTGGTGTGAGGCAGAGTGGAGGTCACTGAGCACCAGCGTGTCTAAACTTGCAGATAGGGAACAGGCACAGCATCATGTGCTCCTCTTGCTGCCCCGGGAACAGGAAGAGAGGCTGTGTCCTCTGCCTGCAGACAGCCTTGTGAGCTTGATTTGCCAGGTTGGTTTGCCAGCAGGTATAAGCAGACCTGCCCTAATTGACTAAGTACAAGGCTCAGCAGAGACCCAGTGTGGGTCTCCAGGCTGCCCAAGCACAGATGTGATCCCATCGTGGGTGTCAGGACTGTTTCTGTAAGCTGAAGGTCATTCCTGCAGTGCTCTCTCAACCCTGACTTAGAAAGGCTTGTCTCTGAGTTAGCTCAGTCCAAGACCTCTCCCCATAAACTGCTTGGGTTAGGTTTTCCTTTAGTGCCTACCATGGCTGTGGGCTTGCTTATCAGCTGAATCACTGCCCCCACACAGACCTGCATGGTTCCACTGGGTGCTGAATCCAGCTCACTGGCTCCCAGGTGCGTTCTCTCCTCTGCAGCAGCTCAGCTCTGAGGGAGGAGGCGGCTGGGAGCAGAGCTCAGCCCTGGCAGTCTGCTGGAACCCAGCTGCTGGAGCAGGATTTCAAATCTGCAGCCGGGCTGTATCTCACAGTGGGTAGGAAGCACTTTGCACAGTGTCTGCAGTTACTCAGCTGTTGGAAACCTTTGTTCTGCGCTGCTCTGTGTGGAGCTTGATATAGCTTGGATTTTTTTTGGTGCCTGAGTTCTATTACTGTCCTTGCTGGGTATATTTTAAAACTCTTCCACACAGTGTTTTTTCTTTTTTTTTCTTGGTTGGGTTTTGAACACTGCACATATGAATTTATTCCCTTAAGATCTTTCTAAACCAGAGATGCTCAAACTGAATGTACACGTGACCTTATGGCTATAGGTGGGATAAGTCTAATAGGTAGCTTTGGTTTTCATTCCCAGCAGTTTTTCACAAGATGCAGGCTGCTTTTCTATCATCAAAAATGCAGTTTGTATAAAATGCTGGTTTTGCTATCTCTTTCACAACAATGCTGTAAGATCTACTGCAGGGTATCTAGTGGACAAACTCATTATTTCTCAAAGGCTTGCTGTATAGAAAGGGAAAAATACCAAATCTTCTGATGACAGCAGAAAACTAGGCATTTTATCTGAGTTTCACTAAGATATTCTTTGTCTCAGCCAGAAATAGGGCCTCCCCAGCCCCCCACATCTGCCTTGTTCCCAATCTTGAGGTCAAACCTCCTGGCCACAACCCTCTCTATTTAACAAAAAGATATAGACACAAGTTGTAATCTGTGCTATGAAAATCTAATCTGTGACCTAATTTGTTGTGATACCATGAAGAACCTGTCAGTAGCGATCACTGTAACCCGTGGCACGGATGCACTGCCGGTTTTCCAAGAGCGCTCGCTCGCCGTAGCCCCAGAGGGAGCGGTGTCATGCCAAGTGTGTACGTTTGGGCTCCTCCACTGACAAATTTGGGGAATAATATACAGACAACTCTCAGATCACTTTTTTTATTCTCTTAAAATGAAAGCGGTATGGGCCGTCATACTATGTGTGGAAGTGAACCTCCTCTTCTGCAGGCAATCCCTGTGGAACAGGCTGGTTTGAAACGTGTGGGAAGGAAAATGAGATGCAATGAAAACTGGACAGTTTTTTCTGTGCGTGCCATAATAGCTGTTTACCTGTTCATTGCTCATTCCCCATGACCATGGCAGCAACTTGGATGCAACCCACTCACTGGGTGAGTGGTTAGAGTGACTTGTCTGAATAATTTCTCACCAGTGGGAGCTGAGGTTGCATGGGCTGATTCTCAGAGGTCAAAACTGGCTGACTTTTGGTACAGCCCCTTGATTCAAGTTTGTTGTCCTTTAAGGAGAAAAACAAAGATCTTCTCTGGTATGTTACTGAAACTTATAGCACCACCAATCTTGCTCTGCAAGGCTAGAGAGGGAAGGAAAGGTTTACAGGTCAGGAATACACAAGTAATAGTCTGAAAAGCTGGGAATTATATTCCTAAGTGTGTGCACTGCTACATCTGTCAGGGAGAAAACTTAACTGAGGAACTACTGCTCTATGAGAAACAACAGCAGAGCTGGGCTTCCATTTTGATTGTTCTAGAAATAACACTTCCTTTTAAATTTTTTTTAATATTATCTTTAAAGTGCTTTACTTGAAAGTACTAAATTAGAATGCACAGGGGCATGCAGTCTATTAATAACTGCTAAAATCTGTGTCTGTGTTTAGTGAGACACCTTCAGTCCACTTGGATTTTGAGATCTAGTAACCTAGATCCAGCAAGATGCATGTGCATGGTCTGATGCCTTCCCTGCTCACCCTCATGGGAGCTACCTGTGCTGCAGTTCAGGCATTTGCTCTCAAGACTTTTTGTTTTGAGCCTCCTCTTTATTTTCAGTACTTTGTTCCCTAGCATACTATAGGTGTATGTTACCGTAGAATACTTGCATTCCCATAGTAATTTCTGTGTTCTTTTTTTGTATTTCAGTTCCTTTTATCCACCCTGGGCACTCAGAGCTCAAGTTTCAATGTGTTATTTGTTGACTTTTGTTCACTCCAGGCTTTTCCCTCCACCCACTCACTTCCTTTCACAAATGTTTCCTCACTTCACCACTTTTTCACACCCGTTTCTAGCACAGGGTTGCCTCCTGCTGTGGGCAGGCTCAGCACTTCATGTACTGTTCACCTTTGCAGGAGATGGGGGCCAGATCCATGTGCCAGAGGAGGAGCAGAGGCAGGAGAAGGTGCTTGCACGTGTGGGAGGAAAGGCACAGGGTCAGGGAGAAGGGGTCTGAGTGTAGGTGTAGTTTGGAGCAGGAGGAGCAAGGGCTTGTAAGCAGGGTGGGTGTATGGGTGGAGAGAGTGAAGGAAGAGAGGGCAGATGGTTTTATGTGTGCTCATGATGGAGCACAGCACATCCTCTGTGTGTGCACAGCTGAGAGATGGCAGGGATAGGACGTCTGAGGATTGAGGAAGGTGCATCTCCAGACCACAAGGCAGCAGGGCCAGAGGCTCTGCTCCTTCCCTCAGCCCAGCACAGGCAGGCTGCTCTACCACCAAGACTTGCTCTTGGAGCTTAATAGCTCCAAGTTTGAATGTGCAATTTTGTTCTTATTTTTAACAAAAAGGTTTCTCACCTCCCCTTGGACAGCACCAATTTCTTAACCACGCGGAGTGCATCTGGCAGCCTACAACCTGTTAAAAAGAGGAAAAAAAAGCCCACCATGAAAATAGCATGTCTGTAGTTTTAAATTAGGCAAGAGCTAAAATTAGTAGGAACAGGCCTGTCTGTGGCTGTACAAACCAGCAGAGAATTAACATTCATCTGATACTGAGCAAGACAAGTAGAGGTTTGCAGCTCACACTTCCCTCGCCTTGTCCCACTCCTGTCCTTGCAGCTTCGCTTCCCTGAAGGGCTCAGTCAGCAGTTAGCAGAGAGCTGTGCAGATGCCACTAACCTTGTGCCAATACCAGTGCTACTTTCAGCACTGTGAAGCGCTAGCAACAGCCAGAGCATTTTTTACCACACTCCTTTAATTTCTTTGCTCAGCTGCTATGAATACAGCTTTGGATGCATCGTGCTAAGGTCACTTGCTGTCAGAGCCCTGGATGTGGCCTGAGTCCCACGCTGGGGACCGGATCCACCCACTGTTTCCTCGGTGAGATAGGAGCCCCCAAGACACTTGTTTCCTTTCCTCAGCTGTGGTTTATTTTCCTCCACTGTAATTGTGTTGCTGTTAACGGGGCTGCAGTAAAAACCAGTCACTGAATTATTCACCTCACTAGAATAACTCTCGGGTGGTTTGGTTCTTTGCAGACTATTTTTCATTTTATGTCCTGCTGTTGTTTTCATTTGCAGCATGACCTATGCAAACAGGTTTATTGGTGCAAGTCAAAATGTGCAATATACTGGGTGGGAAACGGTGGAAATTTGCTGGTAGAAGGGAAAATGATACGAAAAAGGGATCTTGAGTTGCTGGGGAAGGGAGTTGCGGGAGGGGTGGTTGAGTTATTTAGCTCTGCCGGTGGAGGTGATATATGGCTGCTCCTATTTGGGGTGGGGGTGATGTGTTTGAGGGAGGGGAGAACAACAAGAGCCTTCACGTCTCTCCCCCTTTCCCTGGGAACTACCTTGCTAGGCCCTGTGCCCACTGCCAGAGTTGAACTCCTGGGAGTGAATGTTCTTCCACTCCTAGCATATCCAGAGGAATTGGAGGTCACTTGGAAATCAAAATTAAACAATGCCTTAGTGAAGCTTTGAAAAGTTTACTCAAAGCACTGGCGTTGCTCCAGTGCGGTTAAACTGATGACCTCCCTCCAGTAAAATAGTGCAAGAGAGGGCTCTGGTTTGGCTGTCAGCAGCCAGCAGTGGCTGCAGAGCTTCATCCTGGGTGGCAGGGCTGGATTCACGCTCTTCACACCATCCTCCCACCGGAGCAGCGAGAGCTGGACTGCGTCAAGGACGTTGCTGCCCAGAAGCCTCTGGCAGGGATTGCACTGGAAGCTTGTGAGGTGCCTGGGCTGTTTCAGGCAAGGGGCAGGGACCACCCCAAAATGGGAACGGCCGTGTGGTTGCTCTCTGGAGGACCACAGCAGCCCACAGAGGACCTGGAGGTGGCTTGTTTCCCTGGGTCACATCTCTTCTGCACTGCCCTATGGAGGGATAACTGGAGCCTGTCTCTGTGGGCCTCATCCAGCAGCGTGCTCCTGGAAGTGGACAGCTGCTGCCATCAGGACAGAGTTACATGATGGATGATTTATGTTCCCTCCAACTCAGTGTTTCACCAGAGACACAGAGACACAGAGTAGTGTCAAGGGGAGTATCCCTGTGGTCTGCAAACTCCAGGGACGATTTGGGTCGTCATGGTGGTGGGTCTGGACCAGTCAACAAAACTCAAAGGGGAAAAAATAGGAGCCCTATCCCCAAGACTGTTCTGGCAGTTCCAGAACAGAGCAGGGCAGATGCTCCTGTCTGTGAATCCTAACTCCAGCTGAAGGACTCGCTGAAGACCAGATACAATCTTCTGTGCATTAGTGGGTCTGTCTGGCATCTTGCTTACGTTGAGGCACTAAGAAATATTTACTGTATGTTAGTGTTCTCATGTTAGTGCTCTCTGAGTATCACAGATATCCACTGGCAATGGCCTTCAGCAATCCATCAAACGAGAATGAAGAAGCCACTCCCATCTCTATGTAAGGGTTGGAACCAAGTTTCTTTTCCAGGATTACTGCCTTGAAAGGAGATGCTTTTAGGAGTGGCTCAAAGTTGCAAATCTTATACTAGGACTTCTTGTGCTCAGAATCCACAGCTGACATATCCTGGTTACTGGCATTACTATAATTGCATTTAGGAGCAAAACTTGCTTTAGATCCACTTGTACATGTTCCAGGCCTGCTGCCCCATTTTGTACCTGGACATAACATGATTACAACATCTCTACAATACATTTATGTATTGAGGTATGAATGTACCCGGGACCTTTAGCTGCTGTTCATGCAAAAAAAATGGTCTTTTAAACTTGTTGAGGTTCTGTTTGGTCTGTCATCTTTTTCTTAAAAAATGAACTACCTGTTGTGAGAAGCAGTCAGTGGATGCACTCAGAACTCTTGTTCTGTGAGAAAATGCCACCTGGGTGGTGACTCTTCCCTCCCTTGTGCCTTTGCATGGGGCTTCCAAGAGATCATGTAGCTGGTACAGGACCAGTAAATTCATCCCCCTGCAGACTCCTGCAGCATGTCAGTCAGTTTGAGGAAGCAAGAGAGGAGAGCAGGGACCCAGAAGGACAATATTGTGCTTGAGTGAGCATGTAGAAAAGGACTGATCCTGATAACCTTGTGTGCTTGCTGATCCAACTGGCAGGCCAGAGCACTTTCCAGAGCCCTTGGAGAGGTCCATCTGATTCAAGGCCACCAGAAAGATCGTGGCTTATCAGCTCTTTGCCCGATGCTGCACAGAGTTGTTCCTGGGCAGTTGTTTTCATAGAACTGGATACAGTCATTTTCATATTGCACAGCATTTGGGCTTTTACTCTTAACTCTGTTGGGCACTCTCGTACGTGTGTCTGTGAGGGAAGTCATGTTCTCAGTCAGCACCAAATTGGTGCAACTTCCCCTGGGCAGCATCTCCCAGAAATGCAACCCCTTCTGCACCAGCCCTACTGAGGAAGGGGAAGGGCAGAGGCTGCTCTGCAGGGCGACTTTGGCAAGGAACTTGCCTTGTGTTTTTTCTCCTCCCCTAGTTCCTCATGCATGAGATGATCTGAGTCCTCATGCTCCCCCTGTCATGTGACATTCAGCAGCTGGGGTGTCTGCAACAGGGAATGCTCATGTCCACTCAAGAGGAGACACGGCTTCCTGTGAAATCCCCCTGTGAAGTAATAGCACACACCCCATCCGTGTTACTACCCATGTGTCCAGCATGCCATGTCTCACCAGCCCTTGTGCTAGGAGACTTTGAGGGGCAGTCAGACGTGTCCTTGCTGCTGGGGGAAACCAGAGCCAGCCCCTGCAGGCCCTGCCTGCCAGTCCCCTCTGTTGGGAGCTGCTCAAGTACAGGGGGACAGGAGGCAGGTGAGCCACATTTCTGCCCCCAGTGCCCTGCCTGCAGCCATGGCAGTGACCCCCAAGCCTTGGTCCAAGGGCAAGTGCTGGTTCACACCCAGCTGAGACCCAGCAACTTGCCAAGTGATCCTTCCCTAAAGTTGTTCCATATCTGCCTTACCCTCTTCTGCAGGATGGAGCTCAGATCAACACTCAGGCTTTGCTGGATTTCACTAAGGTTTGACCTACCAGGAACTCATTATCTGTCAGGCAGCTGTGGATGTGTTCTAAATGTTTGTTTAGATCATCTTTCTCATAGTGTGCTGAATAATTTCTGAGCTGGAAGAGTGGCCAGAGCATTGACCTGGGAACAAATTAAGCAACCCTGCCTTGGTGTGTTTTTTGTTTTGTTTTGTTTCCTGCACTGTTGGGCTCCAGTCCTACCACGAATTTCACTGACATCAGTAAAACACTGACAACTCCCCCAGGTGCAGCTGAGCAGAAGCAGAGCTTTTTGGAGATGGAAGCATATTCAATAGTGCAAAAGACATATTTTCAGAGGTTACTGAAACTCTGTCCCTTATCCCAAAGCCTCCTTTTGCCCTAGACACTATTATTGCAAGTGCAATAGGTGAATTTAGGTTCCAGACCCATGAGAGGATGTACTAGTTAATACAGAAAACTAGAAATTGTCCTTCCTCTCTCTGATGTCACTTTTATCCCTTGGGTGTACAGAGATTAAAAGATAGTTGATGAGCATACTAAACATTCATTGCACATTTCTTTTCCAGTATCCAGCTGACCTCAAATCTAGAATGAAATGAATTTGCATTTGTTTCTAAAAGTGTCTCATTTTGTGAATCAAAATATCAACACATTTGAAAATGGTCCCACATGAGACATCTGTATCTCTTGGATTTTAAATTGCTGGATCAATGTCTCATTAGTACTAAGGGTGTTTAAAGGACAAATTCTCTGCCTACTGCAGAGAAAATTTACCCCGAGGTATGACATTTCACCTGCCTCTGAGTATAAGATTGTTGAATATAATGGACCAGAATAGCAAGATTTGCACATGCTAGTAACAAAAGCAGGTGAGCAGCAGATCCCATTACAGAAAACCTTTCCTCTTTTTTCTCTCTCCTCATTTTTCAGCCATTAAAACTTGCATGCTATTTGTAATTTATACTACTGCACTATTCAGAAGCCTATGGCAGAATTTGGGCACAGTTTAGTCATGTACCATATGAGTGGATACAGAGAGCCCTGAAGAGCTTCCACTCAAAAGGGCATGAGGAAATGAGAGCACCAGGGTACATCCAAGGTCTTGTAGCACAAAGCTCCAGCTTCACCAGTTCCTGCACTGGACCACAGACCTACAAGCCCCATCACATGCCCTTCTGGTGGCAGCTCTGCTGAGGGACAGGGCTGTGCCACAGCTTGTCTCTGCCCCTCAGCATGGCTCTGTCCTGAGGGAGCAGGAGGACAGTTGGCAAGTCTCAACCCCCTCCTCCTCAAATGAAAAACAGAGGCAACTGGGCCGAGCTATCAGCAAAATAAAGCACTGCAAATAATCTGAACCCGGGGCACAGTGAACCTGAGCCTGTGCTGAGACATGTTTACCCGAGGAGGTGCCAACATAACCTAGGAGAACA